GATTTCTGGTCCTGGTTTTTGGATGATTTTGATGGAAGGAACAATTGAACCACCAGTCATGAGGAAGAACAATAATGAAAAATTGAAAGCAACCAGACAGCTTTCTGAGTCCTGGTTTTTGTTGATTCACAAGTTCTTCAATTGGTAAATGTGGGTTTGAGTCTAGGAACCGTTACTTTGTGCAATAAAAAAGACAAAGATCATGTCTGCATCCCGTCCACCCCTCCCCAGACCCACATGACTGAGAAAAACATTTGGTAAATGGCCTTTCTTAGATGCTTATAACTACTCTATTTTCAATTCAAAAACCAATGTTTACTTATATTGTGGCAAAGATTCTATTAGACCTCAAAACTAAATAAAAACTTTGTTGGTTGCTCTCAGGCTGGATACAAACCTCACCTTCTGAGACTTGACCAGCATTCTCATGTTTATCAGCCCAAGATTTTTCTATTACATCAAGCAAGAGGCCAAGAGCTATAATCGTCTAATGATGCTTATATTGAGTAGGCAAGGACTCATTCTCTTTTTCTTTTCCACAATTTTTCCAACAAAGAATATGTAGTTAGATATACTATTGTTTATTGGATTAGGCTTCAAGACAAGATTTGGGCTGCAAGGTAATCTGAGTTTGCCTTCTTTATAGTTGGACTAAATATGGTTTCACCCAAATCCTATCGGATTCAATATGGATCCATGTTCACCACAAGATACTAGAATCAACCCTAAAATCTACTTTCCAGGTCAGTAAAAGACTCAAATTCAAACCCAATAAAACAACCATGTAGGTTGTAAAGTGTAAAGCATAAAAAGTTAAAACAAACAAATGGGATTGTTCTGGGTATAGTCTGATTTTTATAAATTGGGGACATGCCTAGCAAAATGACAATCAAACCCTTTTACTTTATACAATTTTATAAAGCTAAAATCAATACATAGGTCTAGGGGTGTTTTCATCTTTCCAATGGGATTGGGATCTCGGGTCAAATCACTTACCAAATCTAAGCAAAAAGGTAAAAGTTGAATATTTAATGCATAAGGTGTTAGATATAGGTCTACTGGATTCACTTTTGCTCCTTTAGTCCTAAAATGGAAGAATTCAGGTCTAGTTAGATCGGAATTCATTTTAATAAGTGATTTTGCTTATAACTCAAATCTTCGAAATAATAATTCTTTGTTAGCAGAATCTTATCCAAACACAGCCTAGAAAGCAATGCAAATTATAAAGCACTTGGAAAGACCAAATAATTTCTGCAACTTCTATATTAATTCAACTCACTGATTCGGCCCCCGTCAACTCCAGGTTTTAGAATGACGAGGTAAACACTCCTCTCTGGTTGAAGTGATATGTTATTCATACAGTGACCTTCAAAAGGCTTCAATTCGCTGTATTTCTTTTCCTTTTGCGCAAACACCAAAAATTCATGTTTTACAAGTTTCTTGTCACATAAATTACATATCTTATATACAAAATTACAAGAATTCTTGAGTCAAAATACATCTGTGAATTGAGATTATTGTTCAACACAGAAAAGATGACACGGCAACATCCTGGGATTCTGTTATGCTAGCCGTTTCGGCTATCCTGAGAGCAAGAGTTGCTTTATATACAGCCGCTTCAGCAATCTCCATGAGCTTCTGTGCTCTTTGGCGTTTAGATATTGCCACCTCCATGGACCTGCTTGCAGATGCTTCAGCTTCCTGGAGCTTATGCTTGGCTGCCTTCGTATCCTGCTCCGCTGCTAAGGCTGCATATGGCCAAAAGAAAAATTGGGTCAGAGAGATTATAGAGGCTACACCCAGATAGTATCCAAATAGTATTAGATGTTGGCCAACTACAAAAATAGCGCTGTGTTTGTTTCTTTGTAGAAGCAGAAAAAAACAAAGTCTTGGCCATAAAAGGCCAAAAATATATCTCTGACTACTCAGATTGGAGAAATTCTCCCTAGTTTCAATGAAGAAGGCTATTATAGAATATGGGAGAGATAACTCCCCCCCCCCCCTCTTCACACACATACACATACACACACATAAATCTCTTATAGAGAGCTTAAACAGAAAAAGAAGCAACTTTTACATAAGGCTGTTTTACAGCTTCAAGCAATTTTTCTTTTTGATTTTGGCCCAACTCAAGTTTTTTTTTTTTGATAATTAACAGAAACTTTCATTATTAGATATTAAGAGAAAAAAATACAAGGGGGGTAAAATCTCTTAACCCTCCCTAAAGGTAAATTTTAATTTACAATATTGCCCAGAATAGATTGACTCTTCCCACCCCTTGTTTGGCCAGTGAATCTGCCAAGGAATTGGCACTCCTCTTAGTCCACTAAAACTTAAGCTTTTATTTGCTGGCCCATTACAACATTCTTTGCTGTTGGAACCTTGTGCTAACACAGCTTAAGTTTTCCTTGCATCCCTCTGTTTCTGCACCAACATTAACCAAAGATAACGCAACTGAGTTAATAGATATGTACCTTGTAAGTAACTTGGCTGTTTTCCTCGACCAAATTTACTTGTTTGTCGTTTGAACGATCTTTTCTTGCGGATAAAGGGCTTTGGCACCACTTGAGCTCTCCTCGGTGGTTGAAACTGTATTAGGAAGGATCATTCAAGTTCAGCATAAAAGGAGAGGTCCAACAACCATATACACTTAAGTTCATGAAAAGCCTAGGGTAGCCATTTATAGCAAAGGGGGAGACTTAACATCCGGAAGGAAGAAAGGACAAACAGCATTTATAAATAATAACCAAAAAGGATGACGAATTCAGCAAAGATGCATCTTTCAAACATTATGAGGAAGAGGCTTGGAATAGGCACAGGATGTAAGAAATACCCTGTCCAAGATCAGGACAACTGACTGCCAAAAAACAAAGTACATCTTTTAGACCTTGCTTGGATTTTTTTTTTTTTTTGATAATTAACCTTGCTTGGAATTTCAATCCTTTCTTTCCTGGACAGGGTATTTCTTACATCCTGTGCCTATTCCAAGCCTCTTCCTCATAATGTTTGAAAGATGCATCTTTGCTGAATTGCGGCTAAAGTCATAACTTTTCTGCCACATGAGATCTAACGAGCAGCCAACTCTCATAACTCGTGGCATGAGGAAATGTCTTTCCCCAAAAGAGCAGTCAACTCTTTGTCAAAATGTTTGGGTCTATGTGCCATAGTTACAGCATGAAGTTTTTGTAATTCAGCAAATATACATAGACATTGTAATATATCATAGACATAACAGAATTGTAATATCTCATAGACATAACAGATTTTTTTATTTATCCTTTTCTCTCCTTTTTTTGCTGGGTATTGTAGAAATATTAGAATTGAAAGTAGATGCAAACAACCATGTTGCGAAAAGTTGGCTTGGTATTGAAGAAACAAATTTACACTTAAATTTTCCTCTTCAAAATTAGATTACGGGCATGACATGAAAGATCTTCATGGGATACCAATATGAAAAGACCTGCTGATGAAGAAATGCTTTTGATACCATTTGGGATGAGTGTCTGCCCAGTATTGTAAATAGCATCAACAGTGTGGAACATTCCACATGAGTACGAGGAAAAAAGAAAATTGAAGAGCAAAAAGAAGAAAATTCCAAGATAGTCAATTTCTTGAAAAATATAATCAGCAATACATGTTAAAAGATGATTCAAAGGTACAGAGTACAAAAATATTGTTTTTAACAATATGTTGATTTCCACATCCTCAACTACCAAAGAATTGTAAGATAGATAGGCACTGCTTAATCGTAGAAGCCTCAATACGATGAGAAAATACCAAACAAAAGGGTAGAGAATTATACATATAAAACCAAACATAAATAATGTGGCACTTTTAATTGATCAAAAAATAATAATGTGGCACTTTTACCTGAAAAACCCTAACCAGAGCTGAACGTCTCTGCTTCCTCTTTTTGAGCCAGTACTCATAAACTTTTGCCAACATTTCCCTCCTCCCCAAAGTTAAACAGAGGTCAATATTTTTATTCTCATCTGAGATATCATCTGGACTACAATATGCAGCTTTCTCAAACACATCAATTATTTTCTCAAAGTTCTCTATTGAGATACAGTCAGCCCTACCATCCTCTCCATCACAACACTCATTGTTAAGCTTGTTTAGCCATTCCTCATCATCAGATTCAATGTCATAATTTGGAGTCATTTTTGTTAAAGCTCTATTTACTTCAAGGTCATTTGTCATGACATAAGTATCACCTCGAATAAATGGAATATATTTGATGTCCTCGTATCCTTGTACTTCACGTACCCCAGGCACAGGGATAGTCTTCACAGAGGCAGCTTGCACATTCCGATCATAACATTCTCTATAAAGCTCTTTAAATATAAACCAATCTCTTCTATCAGAAAACTCTAGTTTCCAACCATTTTCCCCTGCCCATATAATAGCCTGGGTGAAACGATTGGATGTGCTGGGTTTCATCACTTTCTGTGCTTTATGCAAAAATCTCAAGGATCCTTTTGTGCGCCCAACTAAAAACCATTTGTTTGGTGCTGAACACTCTAATGTAACCTTTGCCCCTTCATGTCGATAACATTTGTGTGATTCAATAACCAAGATATTGGCACTGCAGACCATTGAATCCATGTTCTGCCTAATTTCTTCTAAGGTAGACTTCAGTTCCTTCATATTTTCTCCCAAAGGCTTCCTCCGCTTGCGATTGCATATGGGAGACAATAAAGAAGTGCAACCATCCCTAACTGTACGAAAATTTGCACCTCTGTAACTAGAAGACTTGTGCAAGTCAACTGGTGGACTTTTAGGTCTTCCCCTGAGATTATTCCTTCTCTTGTGAACACCACGGGAATGCACCCTGTGTCTACCGGATACAACCCGGCCAACTAATCCAGTAGTTCTAGAAATTTGACCAGCCCCAATCCTCTGAACAGAATTATTTCCAGAAGCCACAATTTTGCTTATATAATTATCTACCTCAGTAGGAACATATGAAGGAGACTGTTGATCTTTATTAAATCTAGGAGGGTTTGTGCAGAAATGCATCAGATATTGAAGATGAACACGAGGACAATAAGCAGACCTAAGAAGCATAGTGGAATGCAAACACATAAAAGAGAGCGGAATCGCAGAAAAATCAACAGAAAACAGAGGTATAAACTGTTGAGCCCCAAAAATCTTGCACAACCCAAACGATGACAGATCATTTTTCCATCCTTTGTTACAATAATGATCCTGGGAGCAGAAAAACAGGAATTTCAGTAAAAAGAACAAAATCGGAACAGAGACAACAGTAACAAAAACTGAAATCAGAAAAAAAAAGCATAAGTACAGATAATTCGAAGAGTCCACCTACATGCAAGAAATAGATGCCTTGACGAGAAAAAACTCGGGCGATCGGGTTTAAACACGTAAATGCAGCAAACTTCGACAGTCTCAGCCTGGCCCGCGCCATGTAGCTAAGAACAGAGTACAGAAAACACGCAAGACGTTGAGAATTGCTGCAAGAGGATTCAACAACGATCAAAAGCAACCCTTGGCGGAGGAAACCATCGAAAAACGCGTGTTGCTCCAAATGCCCCTGTGGAGCTGGTTTTCCCGCCAGAAGATACTCCGCAGCACCATCTGAAACTCTCGATGAATCAGTTGACAACACCGGAAGTACGTCTCTTCGTTGTTTCCGGACAAACGAAATGCCATACATTCGATCGTCGGAAAGCTTCTCTGCCCTGTCAATATCCAATCTCCGGCGCTTTCGATGGTAAACAACGCCGTACAACCTATCTACACTGTCATCAGCCATCGAAGCTCCAGGAATTGCATCCGAAGTTTCCGGAGACCCCATTTCACCTCCCAACTCCATTACGGGCACTTCTCTGTTCCGATCAACCTCATGCCTGTCATTGTCCTTGCAGCATGAAACATCGTCTCCGTGGCCAGAATTATCCAGCAACCGAAACCACTCGTCCCCATCCGAGCCCCTGCCCAGCTTAGGCTTCTCGGGCTCCGACCACAACCGCTTTCCCGACCGTAAAACCCTAGCCCCATCATCCTTCCCGATCGATTTCGGCACAAAAACCCTAGTCGACCTCCTCATACCAACGGAAGGCATGGGGGAAATACGCTAGAAGAAACAAAACTCTCTGCAAACCTTCTCGAACACCGATTCAGATGCCTCAGCACAGACTCCCCTGATGCCCGTAAAACCAAACCATCGACCCAAGATTCAACCTTTCTCAGACTCTGTCACCCTCCTCCCATCCCGTACACGAAAAAAAGAAACAAAATCAACAAGACAACGCACTACCCATGAAAGCCCGCCATTAAAGCATCAAAAACCGACCACTGAGAATTCATTTCTCAAGGCGGACGGAGACATCACAATCTGACGACGATTTCGATTATCCGTTCCTTCAACATGTATCTTCCATTGGGCGAAACGGTTAGTTGAGAGGGATTCACCGTCCACATAGTTCTTGAGGGAGCGTCACAGAGGCTGTTGGTGCTGGGTTCTACGTACGAACTATCTAGGGTTTTAAGAAAAAAACGCTGGAAACCATACGGCGGCTTACAGAAGCCGTCGGATGAGAATCCAAGGGACGAGATTGAGTGGATGACGGAGGTCGTTCGATGGCTCCAAGACTGAAGAGGTTTTTCGCTGGAGGAAAGATTTCGTATGAGAGCGGATGTTTTTACTCATATTCTAACCCGGTCGTGCTCATGTGCAGATTTGGAACTAGATTGTTGTATAAGGGGTTTTTTGTCTTTTTATTTGTCCATGTCCAGATATACCACCTTACCGAGAGAAATGTTCAAGAAAGATTTTTTTTTTCTTATTATATGCCCATTACAATTTACAAGTGGATCTTGAACCACACATCGGAATTTTGTGGGACCCACTTGAAAATGCATTCGCTCTATTTTTTTGGGTGGAATGTTATGGAAACTCGAGGGCCCATTCCGCATGGTGGACCCCACTAAATGCTCTTTTTTGTCTCAACAAACCTGGAAAATTGATATTCCATAAGGGCAATTTAGAGATTTTATTGGCATAACATAACACATTAGCGCTGGGGACAAAAAAGGACAGGGCAGGGACAGGATCTGCTCCTTATAGAGCACACCTCACAGCCCTATCTCACCGTGTATTAGGAATATCTTCCATCCTTGTTTTATTCTTCACAGCCCTATCTCACCGTGTATTGGGAATATCTTCTATCCTTGTGTTATTCTCACAGCCCTATCTCACCGTGTATTAGAAATATCTTCCATCCTTGTGTTATTATTGGGAGATGTTCCTAAAACTGTGATGTCTGCGTGTCCGTGGGAATCGGGACCATCCGGTCTCGGTCCAGCAACCCTTACCGTGGTGGAACGTCTTATGTTAGGAGGGTGTCAGATCTCAAACTCATGGCTCCAAGCTAATGGGTAAACTTCCAAACAGCTATCTTACTCTAATAGTAAGTTTTTCACATCTCAACTATTGGGTCAATTGAGAGCACTTAAAAGACATTAAGATAGTGTTTGGTTGGTATGTAGTGTTGCGCTTTATTGAATATATGCATCTGGACATAAAATGCAATATAACATTTTGGGTAAAATACACAAACTTTTCCTGAAGTTTCTAACAATTATAAATACCTCCCCTATAGTTTTGCTTTTGTAAAAACCTCCCTTTTATTTTCAAAACAATTGACAAAAACCTCCCTTCTGTCAATGAATAAGATGGAAAATGTTAAATCGATATTTTTTTTCAAAATACCTATTTTACCCTCTCTCCATAATCCACTCGAACATTGTTCATCTTCTTCCTCACATGCATTGTGGCAGAATGGCTATACACTCCCCCCTCCAGAAGATTGCAATAGACATCTCCATCAATGCACTTCGCTTACCTCCTCACAACAAGAAGAGATTCATTGAAATCCAAAAAGGCCTCCCCTATTACCTCCTACAATGGCGTCGTTGGTTCTCAGAGACTAAAATCCAGAGAAATCACTTCTAGGTACATGTACCATTCCACTTCCACCTCTTCTTTTAGACGATGCCCACCTCCTCTTGTTTCGAGGCCCACTACCTTGATAGCTGCTTCAACACCACTACCGTCTTTGATCAAACAGTCTTAGTCTATCTAGCGGAGACGTCCAATCACCCCTCGACCCACCACGCCACTTGCCTGATTCGACGAGGACGAGCAATGTTGCGAAAGTTTTAGTAGCTTCAAAAATGTTGTTCTACGCGGAGTTTATCAGTTTCATTTGAAGGGGAATCGTTCTCACTTCTGATTAGTAAGATGAAGGCTGATCCAACGCCCAATTTGAGTAATATGAGAAAGGCTACACCAGAGTGGAGGGGGACGACGTCATTGAGAGGGAAGATTAATGGTCCTGGAGGAATAGATTAGATGGAGAACTCAAAACCCATTGATCAGCAATGTTGGCCGAGCAAAACCAAAATGACAAATCCTTTAACAAGAAGTTCAGATTACACTGTTGACAAAAAAACTCATTGGATCTAAAATCGTGATTCACGCATTGCAGCAATCAATGATTGATGAAGGTAGAAGGGCATCGTTTGATGGTAGATTACATCGGGATTCAAGCATTGCCGACTTTGTAAAGACTGTTCAATATGCAATGGATGCCAATTCCACAAACCTCCCACTGAGGTTTGTAACTATAGGTTTTTTTTTTCAAAATTACAAGGGGGTTTGTTAAATTAAAATCACAGTTCATTCTTTTCTCAGCAATCTTTCTCTGACTCTCTCCTTTTGTTTTCATTCCGATATTCTATTTCCAGTTGAATCTGGTCCTTTAAGACCTTGATTTGATTTCTTTTTCTGGGAGGAGAACAAAGCTGCATTCTTGGTCTTCAATTTTTTCGATCTTTTGATTTGTCTAGCAGAAATTTGTTTTTCTGAGAGTTTGGTCTAGGGTCCTTGCATCCCCTTTTTTTCCCTTGCAAAGTTTGTATCATACAGATGAGTTGCTTTTCTTGTACAAGTCCTTAAGGAATAGGCGTAAAGAAAAATTGAAGATAGTAACAATGTTCGATCTTGCTCTCTCCATTTTCATAGTTCTTCAGGCCGCTCTCTATTCCTTCATTTCTCTTTGCCGATTCAAATCTTTTGTTGATCTCCTTACCATTGCTTTGGCTTACAAGACCAATTTGCAATGGATGCCAACAAACGAGTCATCAATTCCCTCCGATCTCACTGCATCTAGTACTGACAGTGTCTCCTCTAGCAAAACTTCTTGAGTACAGGAGTGCAATGGGGTTTCTCAAGCTCATATTAGGCCTCGTGGAATCAATATCCCTACTAAGTTGTTCGGGCGGAGGAGTATAGAAATGCAACGGGGAGTGTATAGCCATTCTACCATAGTGCGTGTGAGGAAGAAGATAAACAGCGTTCGAACGGATTATGGAGAGAGGGTAAAATAGGTATATTGAAAAAAATCATTTCTTTAACGTTTTCCATCTTATTCATTGACGGAAGGGAGGTTTTTGTCGATTTTTTTTTTAAAATAGAAGGAGGTTTTTACTAAAGTAAAACTATAGGGGAGGTTTTTATGATAGTCAGAATTTTCAAGGGAGGTTCTTGTATTTTCCCCTTATAAGAGTGCCTTTAGTCACCCCTTGAGTAATAAAGGTCCAAATGGTATTTCTTCCAAAAAAATAATTTTCACATAACCTGAAATAAAATATAAAATGTAGTACAAATTACAAAAGATTGTATTTGATTAGTCCAACCAAACAAGATTATTGTTTGGCAAAGTATAATTGTCTATGTGGTGCTGACATGGCAGAGAAACGGCACCCAACACAATGATGCCAAAGATGCTTAAATCAAGATAATCCTACCCACACCTCACAAGAGATGTTCTCAATGTAAAGCTATAGTGTTATGTGGGTAGCTGTCAGAGATATGAATTTGCCTAAATCCAGTTGTTTATCCTCTAATTCTGAGGGTCTTTGGAACCATGCACATTTATTAAATAAACACAGTCATATAGGCACCACTTCAACATTTCCCCCATTATGTGAATTCATATGTATATGGATTTGCAAAAGTAGGCTTCGGTTTATGTGCATGCCTACCGTTGGAGGAAGCTTCATTTTAGCGCTTCCCCCAACGGATAGGCATTTATTCATTATTTTGTTGATGTAGTGCCTAATGGTGCCTAAGCGTTAATAAACGGATTCATTATTGCTTTTCTCATTTTTCAAAACAAATAAATTACAAAACATTTAGTCAATAAATGTCCACAGTTTCAAACTCATACTTTATCATCTTAATGCCTATGACTTGGTTGTTAAGATGGCCACCATCTTTCTGGAAAACAATAGACGCATGATCAAACCCACTTAACTCCAATCTCTCATCGGTATAGGTTTCATTTGAATTTATTTAAAATGAATATAAAACAAAAATAATTCAGCTATTATTTTCATCCTTTTTTTATAGCAAAAAAAAGTTTTTTTCAATCTCCTTTGATTAGTTTGTAAATGACATTGTGAAAAGAGTTAAAGATATTGTATTTGGAAAAAAGTTCATACCCATTCAAGCACAACCATATTTTTGCCCCTATTATAGTGAAAAAAAAATTCTTTTGCCATTTACATCAAAACAAATTAAACGGTGCAGAAAACAAATATTTTACAATGAAATATAGATAAACTATGCTTAGACCAAGCCCAAAAAGAAGGCTCTCTTTGTTCTCATTAAATTCTTTAGGCTCAGTTTGGAAGGAGCACAAATACAAATATGTAGAGTGCAAAACCTTAAACTTTGTATTATTTTGTATGTATTTGTACTGTACATATTTATATTTGTACTCCTTCCAAACGGAGCCTTGATAATTTTCTCCTAACTTTTTCTCTCACATTTTCTATCAATCCAAACATAGCCTAAAAACTATTTACTATTTAGACTGAAATAAGATGATGTTTGCCTTAGTTGGGCTGTTCCAAGTTGCAGTTCAGAAGTTCTAACCTCACGATCTAGTAGTAAGGGGTAAGGGGGATAGGCTTCCTAATCGAATAAAGTAGGAGATCACATCTGTGCTCCACATGCACATTTCTGCGTGCATTGGAAACCACTCCTGAAGTTGTCAGTGGGAGATGTTCCCACTACACGGTTGGGATAGACTGTGGGCTTTGTTGGACGTAAGGGTGGATTCTAGCCGAGTCGAATAGTATTAGGCTCGAGCTCGCTTTTGAGAAAAAAAAATATTTTATAAAAATAAAAAATATAAAAAAAATTATATATATATTCGAGCCGACTCACGAGCCGAGTTCTAGTAGGCTCAAGCTCAGCTCATTTAATAATCAAGCCACTGAATTGGGCTTGAGCTCGAACTCGATTGAAACCGAGCTGAGACGAGCTTTTCACGAGCCGAGCTCGAGTAGCTCATGAAAAGCTCGGCCCGTTGCCACCCCTAGTTAGACGCCCTTTGTGGGGCGCAGATGTGAATTCCTAAAGTAGGGAGCTCCCCACAAGGACATAGTCAATAGTGTTCATATCATTTAGAAGATACTGAACCTGTCATGGTATGCTACATCAGCTTGATAGTGGGTCCCACATGTATGGAGACTACACTGTGTTTCACGACTGGCCTAGTATATTGCAAAAAAGAATCATACACAACTTTTCACATCTATCTAGGTTTTTATCAAGGTTTTTAAAACTAAACCGGACCTGATAGGGAATCGTTCTGGGATCGGTTTCCAACTCAAATGGTCCGACCATCCGGTTCGAATAGATGGCCCATCCTAACTTAAAAAAATAAAAATAATAAAATAACAGCCAAAAGAAGTATTCCGGATTGACAATTCGACCACCCAAGTCACTAGATTGTTGACCAAATCAACGGTTTTTTTGCCAAAATGCGATTTTAAGATGAAATGGAGCCAATTACCCAACCATCCAATCCAGTCCAATTTTCAAAACCATGGTTTTTATAATAGGTAATAGAGATCAAACCGGAGTTAAATAGGTTTTTATAGCAAGGCCCAATCAAAGCCCAAGTCTGGTTATGGCCATGGTCATGTCTGGTCTTGGCTGCACCAAATATTTAAAGGCCCACTAATACTTAGGCGGCATTTGGCATATGCACAATTGACATCTTGGGACTTGGGAGTATTATGGTTTCTTTTTATCCATTTAACCTTTTTTTGTTTTTTCAGGGCACAACGGGGGAGTTCACATCTCCACCCCACAAGGAACCGTCCCACAACACCCCACAGCACATCTTTGCCCTGTATTGGAAACATCTCCCAATGATAGTACCAATCCCTATAATATCATCATCGGGGTGGCTCCTTGTGGGGCAAAGATGTGATCTCACAACGGAATGGCCCATCCCCATCCCCCCAACCCTCTCAACTGTCAACCCTAGTGGCAGTGGGATTTGATCCCATATCTCTGTTACAACGAGTTGGAGATCTTACCAATTGAGCCACTATCAATTAGTCTTCTTATTTCAGCGGGATTTAACCTTCTTATTTCATTTTTATTCCAAAAATTTAGTGGTAAGAGAGATACCAATGTGCTACTACAGTACTACCTCCACAAAGACCCTTTGCACAACATTTTAATTGATTAAAATTCCTTTGTTAGGTAAAAGCAAAACATTTCTGGGAATTCGTTTCCCCCCTCAAATTTTTATTTTCTAAATCCCCACCAATTCTACAGTATCCCTATTTTTTATCATGGTTTTAAAACCGTTATTGACCTGATTGGTCAAATTACTCAATTGAGAAACTAATTACTTAGCTATTTCCATTTTCCCCTTAATCTGTTCTTTTGTAAAAACTGTTGAATTGGTCAGTAAACCGCTAATACGCTGAGATATAAAATACATTGTATATTTTAGGATACACGTGAATCTCCCACCTCACACCCTTGGCCATTGTATATTTAAATCAATGGTTTGAACCGTTCAACCTGGGCAATTGAACCACTTATTAGAAACCGGTGGCTTAAGCCTTTTATTTCTGAGTTGGTTTCTAAAACTTTGATTTTGATCAATTCCTCCCACGTCATTGTTCCCAACTATACAAAACTTATATTTACAAAGTGGGGGAAATCAATAAAAACCCCAAAATTTTTTTAGCTACAAGTTGGGCTCTCAATTTGTATTGTAGAACGATCTGACCTTATCACACCTTTTTTTTAAACTTATGTTTGGTTTGAAGGAAAAGGTAAGGAAATCTTTACAAACATTGTATAGGTTTTTCTTCTGTCTTTTCCTTCCTTTCCCTACCTTTTCCTTCAAACCAAACACAGCCTTAGGGTTCTCAAATTCTCTTTTGACGATGATTGAATAAAGTTTTTTTTTTTTTTATCTCGAAAGTATCAATACTTTTGATATGAAAAAAATTGTGTATCAAGTGTTTCAATCAATTGAAATTCCATCTTTTTTATTTTTTTATTTGACAACCCAAGTGGATAAGATATGACCTTTTTATTGTTAAGGCCTCAAGTATGCTTGAGCTTTAAACATTGGGGCTCACTACTTTTTGTGCTGGGCTCGAGTTTTCCCAAATAAGCCAGACCCAATAATATTATATATAGTAAAAAATATAACATATTAATAATACATAAAATATATATTATATAATAATAAAATTAGTATTGAAAATTGTATTATATATTATAATATGTAGAATATTATAAAAGGCAAATTTCTTATACTACCCTTACTGTTTACCTAATCGACACCCTTATTGTTTAACTATTGTCTTGCACCACCCCTACCGTTTCAAGCAATTGACATCGTGGGTAAATGCTAACAGAAAAAATGAAATGTCAAATTTGCCCTTCATTATTCTTCAAATTTTCAAAATAAAACCTAAATTTCAGGAAGACAGGAAGCAGATCATTACTCTATCTTCATTGGAACAGTCCCATTTGGAGGATAGATCAAGCTTGCGCATCAGAAACAGCAAGGGTCATGGAAGAGATGACCTTCGGGTGACTCAAATGGGGCATCTTCTCTATCAACGGCCCATACAGGAGCGAGTAGGAACCGGCAAGGGTTCTAGTTCCAAGCTGGGGAAACATCGTATGAACCCATTTGAGGGTCTGTGCAATGACCATTGTTGCTTCGTATCAACCCATTTGCAAAGAGGACAGAGGAGGGACTGTGACCTTTTGTTGCTTCAATGAACCCATTTGCAGAGGACCGAGCTGGGGGAGCTTCTTATGAACCCAGATTCCTTCTCGATTGGAGACCTTGCCAAGGAGATGGGTTGCAGCCCGAGGTTCATGGAAACACTTATGTGGTTGTCGTCAGTCATGAGAACATTAACCAGAATTGGTATTTTGGGAACAAAAGGTCAATGTTGATACCCAATTGCCCCACTAACAAAGACGACGACCTCCTCCCTTTTCCTGTCTCCCCTACCTTGCCCTTATGCTTCTAGAAGAAAACCAGCCATCAATCTTCCCAATTCGATTCCTACACGTTCTTACTTCTTTTATGTGCAAAACCCATCTCCTTTCCACCCACCCCAAAAGCCTCAAATCTCAGCTTTTACCGTCTTAGGGACCTTGAAAATCTTACCCGCTTCCAATCTCTTCTTTTTAATTTCACTTTTTTCTTTTTCTTTTTCTTTTTCTTTTTCTGGGTGTAGGCTGGTGTTTTTTAGGATGCTGCTAAACCGGTGGCAAGCCTGGAGGTGGAACAAGGTGTTGAAGAGAGAGCAGAGGTGGAGGTCGAGAAGATGCAGTTGAGATTAGCAGCGATAAAACTAGCCCTAGAAGATCTTTCGAAGATGGATACACCGAGCGAGAAGAAGAGGACAATGGTGTTACAGGCACAGAGCCGAACCAATCCAAGAAATGGAAGCTCTTGTAGAACAATCAGTGGCTTCATCAAGCTGAACCCATCACGGTTGAACACAAGCAACATCTTGTGCAACTTCGCACTCCCATCGGCCACCAACGACTTACAATCACAAGAAACCTCAACCCTTCCGGTGTAATAGGATCCAACAATGTTTCAATTTTCTGATCATATCACTAGTCTTCTTTTTCTTTTTTAAGCAATAACATTGAGAGAATTTTTCAGAAATGGCCTTGCTGCGTTGTGAAAAATGTTCTAAAACCCTTATGTACAGAAGTCATCACCAAAACCCATCTGCTCTCTCCTTTGCAAGATTCACCTAAAAACCGAGACGAAGCTCTAGTGTTTCTTGGGCACAAGAGGATATCATATTCCATACCTTTCGCAATGACCTAGATATCAGATATATGAAAACACATACCAGAAACCAATAAAACTGAAACCAAGTTCACAATCCGAGAGAGAGAGAGAACACATGCATCTTTCTCGAATTTGATTGACTATGTGCCTATGATATTTCTCTCTCCTAGAAAAAAAATGCAGAGAAAGGAAAGAGAAAAGGGAACACCGAAAAAAGGCATTTTTTACCATAAAAAGGTAAATTAGGGATTTTTGAAAAATATAAGTCACATGATGTCACATGTGAATGGTTTATGATGGAGCATTAACGATAAAGGAGGTTTTAGACAATTGGTAGAAACAGTAGGGTGGTGCAAGACAATAGATAAACAATAAGGGTATAGTTAGTCAATTAGCTAAACAGTAGGGGTAGTTTAATAAATTTGCCCTATTATAAAATATATAATATATTATTAATAAATGTATAATTAATATAATATAAAATATTTGTCTAGATTAAGATTCAAGCTTGGGCTCAAGATCTAGGCCTAATGGTTGGGCCGGGCTTTGGCTTAGGGCCTCATCATTTTCTGCTTATAAAGAGGAAAAACCCGACCCGGGGGTCTACCCGAAACCAACCGACCATTAATAAAAATTGGCCACCTTGGGTTGTATGAATTTGGACAATCAACTCAAAAGATTTATGCTTAAAAATGATTTTTAAATTTAAAAACTTATAGCAGTATTATTAAAAATAAATAAATAATTTAAATTTATAATATAAAATATTTAGTCAGTTTACAAATGACCAAACCGAAACTGACCCAACTTGATCGGGTTGAGAAATTGCTGAACCAAGGCTAACAGGAAAATACTAGAAAACTGACAACTCAAGTCAAGTTAGGTTGGGTTGGTCAGTTTCATCGATTTCATTAGTTTGACGAACCATCCTAACTGAAATTAATTATTATTATTTTTATATTGCAAAAATAGTATATAAAATATAAATAATTATTAATTATTTAAAAATTTAAAATATAAAACAATTGTATACTCTTATGTATTTATATTGTTTAGCTTTTGCTTAACAAAGCCCGTACACTACACGAGTCCCCGCTAATTTTTCTATTATATCACAACAAAATCTAAAGTTGACTATGAAAGAAAGTAACTTAAATTGCGATGTACACTGGCCTCAAAGGCCTAGCGCTATTACATAACCACCAACCATAGGGCCAGAAATGATAAGGGGCAGATTCCTTTATAAATGGGGTTTGTCTCTTATCCGATGAAAAAACTTATACTAACCATTCTAACAAAAGAATTTTTTTCAATCAAGTAAGACAAAAGGATCAGCTTGATGTACATGTGCATGTGTATGTGTGCTAGAGAGATTGCAATATGCTTTAACGATACTCAAATTCTACTTTTAACTTGCCTGACAAATAAGTTGCAATTTGACTTCATATAAGTAACCTTGTTGCAACTCCACCAAACACTATAAACAGATCTCATAATTGGTCTACTATCAAAGGCGAAATACTGGAATTACAAGAATCTGAGCTCAAATATATATACAAATGAAGTGTGGCTCTATTGGATAAAGAAACAAAGCTGCACTTACACTGATGACAAACCAACTACCGCCGTCAATCATTCCATTTTACCTGTGATGAGCAAAAGAGAACATTACTAGATAACAGAAATGGGTAAAACAAAAATAAAGAACAGAAGAAAGAGGCTAATAAAGATACCTCAGAGAGCCATCTACTTGGAAATCAATCTCTACCAGTACATAGTACAACACGTTCAACAAAGAATCTGAATCCATTTAATTTCAACAAGTCCAAAACTGTTGTTAAGTCTTTCATCCATACCTCTCCAAGTCCAGACACAGTCATATTTATGAATCAGCCTCTTGAGAAATCAATGAATAAGCAGTTACTAAAAATCCATAAGAGAGGAATAATCAAAATATCAGGTTTACAATTCCACTTAGGAAGTTCTATTAACTTCCAAAAATACCAATCTTCTGTTACCTGCATCCCCATCTCCCTTAGCAGCTTTGATTTCCTTGGCACTCAAGCACCCTGATGGTAGGAAGGCTTTTTGAGAAGGCAACTCAGCAATGAAAAGTAAAGTTTGTGCCCAGCCAGCATATTTTCCAAATTTGCTCACAAATGCCTCAGCCACACGACCGCAAAGCTTGGGGGTAAGACGTGCACCTGCAAGTTCTGGAATGAGGTATCGAGTAGCAATCTTTTGCTCAACCCCATTAAAATGAACAATTGCAAATGAGAACTTGATGAGGATCACTGAGCATAACAGTTGGCAAGATGCAGCTTTATCATGCCAAAAAAGAAACTATGCACACATGAATCATGACATTCAACAATAAGCTTTATAACCTTAGATCATTGAACTTGCCAAAGCAGACACATACACAAAATTCTTTACTCCACCACCCACCCTCTAAAGAAAGAGGCTAAGTGAAGCCAAATGACAATAAAGTTGCATTTGGATTATCAGCTTTATTTTCAAGGCCAGTTGGTATGGGATATTGGCTTTATTTTTGGGGCCAATTGACATGGGAAACTCCTTGCAGGCTCAGGCTGAATTATTGGCACAGCTACAAGGTCTTCGATTAGCAAAGCAACTGGGTTATAGACAGGTGGAGGTAGAAACTCCCTTAGGGTTGGGGACCCAAATATGCTTATCAGGTTTAGTGGGGTCCAAACAGACATCCCGAAGGAGTTGCAGAAGATCCATACAAGCAGAAAGTTTGTTATCCCTAAGCCCTCTAAAAAAACCAAAGTCCCATGGGATGTATTGGAGGAGCAACAAATCATAATACACACCCATTTTTGTACAAAGAAACCAAGTATAAGGAGGGGAAGAGCTCCATTAACAAACAAGAACCAACCCAATATCCTCCCAGAATTTAACAAAAGTCCTAGAGCAAACATCATACCTAACGAAACGAAGAAAGTGAAGCAAAATGCTATGAACCGCTTTCCAAGGCAAGGCTAAAGTAGCTCTGGTAGATACACTTGCATCCTAACCATTTCCCAACCTTCCATGTATGCTAACTATTACTTCATGTCAATTTATATCTTGCCACCAGCCACCTCCAAAGTCGTTTCCCTAACAGAGCCCTATTCTTTTTACCCACACTAACAATACCCAATCCACCTTGTTGAAGACTCTTACACACAACCTCCCACTTAACCAAATGATCCTTCCTTCCATCTCCCGGCTCCCACAAAAAATCCCTCATAATCTTCTCAATTTTCTTTGCTTCTTTTTGGGAGAACTCTAAAAATTGATAAGAAATAGATTGGTAGGTTAGCAAGTGTGGATTTAATCAAAGTAATCCTTCCTCCCAAAGATACATAATTCCTCTTCCAAGCTGCCAATTTCTTTGCACATTTCTCCACTATGGGGTTCCAGAATCTACTCTCCTTAGGGTTTGCTCCTAGAGGAAGTCCTAGGTAGGCCAGAGGCCAACTAGCAAAAGGACACACTAAAATATTTGCAACAAAGTTTAGTTTCTCTTCCTCCATGTTGGTTCCTACCATGCAACTCTTATCAAGGTTGACTTTCATATTAGAAGTTCAAACTTCTTCACCAGATCCTTCAAATTCCTTGCCAAATTTTTGCTCTCCTCCCTCACAGAAAATTATAATATCATCAACAAACTGTAGATGGGAGATTAGGACCCTCTCTCTTCCAACTTTCCAACCTTTTATTATAGTCTCCCTATCAGTGGACTAAAAGGTGTGCCAATTCCTTGGCAGACTCTTTGGCTAAGCAAGGGGTGGGAAGAGCTATTCTTTTCTGGGCAGCTTTGTACTAAGAAGTAAACTTTCAGGGAGGGTTAAGAGATTTTACCCCTCTTGTTGTATCCTCTTTTTTAATCTTTTTATTAACAAAAGTTTCTATTATTTAACAAAAAAAAAATAATAGTCTCCCTATCGGCCTTTAAGATCATTTTGCTAAACATATCCGCTACTAGGGTGAAAAGAAAGAGTGAGAGAGGATCACCTTGCCTCAAGCCCCAACAAGCTGGAAAGAAGTCTCTAACAGTCGAGACCGGCTTCAGTCAGGGCAAATCCATGCCCACACCGTTCTAACAGCCTTTTCCAACCTTGCATTGGGAATATCTCTCCATGAAATAAAGCATGTAAGTATGGAGATATTCTCAATGCAAGGCAGTAAAGGCTGCCCGAACAGAGTTTGCCCTGACTGAAGCTGAACTCCTAACAGTCCCATTAACCAAAATGGAATAGTGGCAAGACTTAACAAAACCTAAAATCCATTTGCACCATCTCTCCAAACCCACAATTTTTCATCACCTAAATAAGGAAGGTCCAATCCACCAAATCATAAGCTTTCTCCAAGTCCATCTTACACACAAAACCTTTCCTCCTTGATCTTTTCAAATCCTTGACACGTTCATTAACAACTAGAATCTGATCAACTATCTGCCTCCCTTGAATGAAAGCCCCTTGATTTTGAGTGATTGCAGATGGGAGAACTAATTTTAATCCCTCAACGAGAGAACCTTGGCTAAGATCTTSTAAATGCTGGTTACTAGGCTGATTGGTCTAAAGTCCTTTGGATGACTAGCATCAGTTCACTTTGGAATAAGAACTAGAAATATTGCATTCACCCCTGGGCTAAATCTGTGCTATTCTACAAATTCATTAAAGACCTCAACTAAGTCATCTTTCACAATATCCCAACAATCTTGGTAAAAAGCCATTGTAAACCTATCTGGTCAGGAGGCTTTACATATCCATTAAGAAACTGCCTTCCAAATTTCCTCTTCTTCAAAATTCCTTTCCAACCAATTTGCTACCTCAGTCTCCACACAAGGCCACTCAATTCCCTCCAAACTTGTTCTTTCATTCAAAGGCCTCCTAAAAATTGATTTGTAATGGTCCAAAAAGATCATAGCAATTTCCTCCTGATTGGTTATCTCCTACCTTCCTATCTCTAAGTTGGCCACATAATTGTTCCTCCTCCCATTTGCTAGAGCATGAAAGAATTTTGTATTACCATCCCCTTCTTTAATTCACTTGCATCTGGATTTTTGTCTCCAACAAATCTCTTCCCTTAAAAGCACTTCTTCCATCTCTTTCTTAACCCTACATCTTAAAGCTCTTTCCTCCGTAACTAGAATCCCCTAAGCTTTTTTCTCATCTAGCTCCTCTAATTTAGACAAGAAAGTGATCCTCTACTCTTCCGAACTGCTCCCTATTCCATTTCTTAATTCTCTCTCTCAATCTCTTTAATTTTTTGTGAAATCACACCCCTTTCCATTCCACTCCTCCTTTCACCACACCTCTGCATTTCTCACAAAGTTTGGATGTGTAAGCCACATGTTTTCAAATCTAAACGGGTAGGGCCATTTGTTAAGGTTTCTAAGCCTAACTTACTAAGGAAGTGATCCAAGGTGACTCTAGGTAAAGCTCTCGACACCAAGTTTACTACATGGGATTCCCAAAGTTCATTAAAAAGGAACCTGTCTAATTTTTTGTGATGTCCTACTTCCACAGCTATAGGAAGTTCTTGGTGGGTCATAGTTTGGTTTAAACCTTAGTTCTAATGTTCCATCATTTTCTTGGATTATGGATTCTAATTCTGTAGACTTTACAGGGGTTAGATTTTCTTCTGAATTTAGTGTCCATTTTTTCTGGTAATACTACACCCTTCCACATGATCAGCTTTGGTACAGTAACATTATATTTTATGTTTGTTTGAACCAGAATGGTTACTCCTTTTTTTACACTTGTACTGAGTGTTAAGGCAAACTATGTTCATTACTTTGAAATACATCCTATACATTAAAGCTATATTCTCTGATCCAGGCTTCATGTTAAAACCTTGGGTTCGCACTCTTAAGATTAAGGTTGTACATACGCCATGGTCGGTTAGGGATACTAAAAAGTTAGGGAATGAATTAAAACATCCCAGGCCATCACTCAAGCTTCCTTCTATTCCGATAGTTGCATCTTTGAAGTTAATATGGCGAATGTCTTTTACACACACCAGCATAGTAGCATTTAGCCCTAGCCTTGTTAAGGGCTTCACCGATACTTGCAACAATCCAAGGTGTATGAGAAATTGCAATCTCTCTTTCCCGTATACCTTCTCAAGGTTTGTGGGTCTAGGGGATAGAAGTATTAATGTCCTTCACTGATTGCTACGGTCCTTTCTACCATTTTGACATTATAATCAACTTTTAAGCTGAAGGAACCGGTCCTATACACTTCTCTAGGCATCTTAGGAATTGACCAATTCTGTAGTGATCTTTCTAAATTTTCAAAACTAACTTCTTCGATGTTTTTTATTGACATGGTTTTACTTGTGGAGTTCAAAGAGGTCATAGTATTATTGTTAGACTTAGATAAGGATCTTAATAATCTAGCCATGGGTTTTGATATCCTTGAAGCTAGTCAACAATCTGTTGCCCTTCAATCACTCAACTTGGGCTCTTACGACTTTGCCTAGTAGGAACAAGGGTTCTACCCTTGCTAATCCTAGCCAAAGAATTCTCGTTGTTCTATCACAAATTGGCTATGATTCATCTTAATTTGCAGCAAAAAGAAACAAAAAACGGAAACCAAATAAAAGTAGTAGCTTAGATGTTACCTCAAATTGAGCTAGAGTCTTGTCTCTATATCTTAAATTCTGAGTTCAACAAGGAGGTCTAAAGAGAGGGAGAGGTAGAGAGCTGATACAGAGTTGTAGATTGTGCAATGAATGGAAGAGACATCAATGGTGGCATTGGCTTCAGGGTTCGGGCCATTGAACAATGACAAATGGATAGTTAGAGTCTGGAGAGGTGACTGGTAAGGGAATAGGGTTTGAGAGGAAGGACTAAATGGTTCAACAACGATGTAGGAAAAGAGGGCTAGAGAGATGGAGAGGGAGAGGCAGATAGTCAATGCAAAGTTGCAAATCGTGTGGTGAATGGAAGAGATGGTGATGACGGTCTTGTCTTCCAAGTTCAGGTCATTCAATGATGACGAAATATTTATCTCAAAGTATTGGCGAGTCGAGCTTGAATAGCCAAGTAATCGGCTTGGCTCGACTTGACTCGAATCTACCCCTACCTCCAACCCGTGCAAAAAAAAACACAAAAGAAAAACACCCTAAACCCAACCAACCATTTGATGAAATACTCAAACTCAAGCTTTATCCATTTTCTCGTTGTGTCCATTGTCTAAACTAAATCTCTCATTTCTCATCTGAGAGACTTTCTTTATCTTCTTCACCTTCTTTAATCCCACTCCAAATACTACCAACTTTAACCTGGCAAAAGCTTTTGAAACTTGCATCAATCTTTTGATTGGTTTTCTATCTTCTAAATCTTCTTACTGCATTAGGACTTTTCTCCATCTTCGTAAAACCTCCCTTTTAGCATTGATTCTTTCTAATTCAAATATTGCATTCTTTTTAAAAAAATTAAGCAGCACTCAAGCCATCTCTCCTAAACTTCCCCTCCCCGAAGTCTCCGACAATCTTCAGACTTCCAATCTCCTCAGTTCTCCCAAAACCAGAACTAGCCGTCTCAGCATCTAATATTAATATCCCCTTGTCCTTCTCTTTCGACTGGATTCTAGATTCTTCTTCCACCTTCTTGAAAGCTTCCTTTGCAAAATCCCCCCCCCAAAGAAGAATAAGCCCAAAGTTTCACTGATCTTCACCTCTGTGTTTATCACCTTTTCCATATCCACAATTTTCTCAACTTTGTGAGTCTCATCTATTACTATTTCTTCCTTCTCTATAGCCAACGTTGCTCCACCCTCATCACCTAATTCCACATCATCTTGCAAAAGTCTGGTTCTATATTTTTGTTTCCTTTTATAGACTATTGATAATGACTTTCTTTTCTTCTCATCCTCCTCAACATTTGTCTCTAMTGCTTCACTGACAACCTTGAGACCAATGTCTTCCAACTCAAGCCCTGCTTGAACTTCATCCCTCTCTATAACCCCTCTTAAAGATTTCGTTTTCCACTGAAATGAGGGAAAACAAAGTTAATAGTCCACTGCTTTCTGGATTTCAAAGGTTCTGGAAAGTAGTAAATTTGCTTTCTGGTTTCCACCCCAATCCAAAAACAGCCCAAGTTTTATAACCATGGATCTTGAAAGTTGAAACTGACCAAAGCACACACATGCAAAACTCTATTACCCACCCACAAAGAAAAGAAACCCAAGGAAGCCAAACCTTGTCAAAGAAGTGTCGGGCATTTATGGTTTTGGTTCATTCAACAAATAGGCATATTAGAAGTTTTCTAGTGATGACATATAGGGACATGCCCACCCCCCTCTCCACCTTTTAATCATCTATTTATAATAAAGGACAAATGAAAGAGCAAACCTGCCACACATGTGTATCAACAGGGATGGCATGGTGTTGGTCTAGAGAGAAGAGAGCAATGCAAGCTGCAACTTTTGGTCCAATTCCAGGTAAAGTAGATAGAGCATCAACCACCTCATCAAGATCCAATTCACGAAGAGATGAAAGCCATTCTGTACCTCCACCAGGTTTGGATTGCAAAGCCTTAACTGTACCAACTATATACTTGGCCCTGTGTCAACAACATGGATCATTAAATAATGGTAAAGATAAAGCCAGCAGAAGAAGTCAAAGAGATGAATCATACAGAGACAGTATTATCATTCCTTTCAAGACTAACATCTGAATTTGCCCCCATTTTCTCCTTTCCTCGACGAGTCTACACCAGGATTGTTCATTGTGCTGCTCTGAAGTTTCAACCTATCCTTCACCCCCTTTCTTTTGTAAGGTGACCAACCCCAAAGAGCCCTTCTTTCAAGCAGTGAAAGACCTTTGTGACATGGACTCATTGACCAGCATTTGACCCTATAGTAAATAAAACAGTGACTCTACCCTCATTCTTTACTGATAAAAAAAAAAGAAGATATGATTTATCAAAAAACCAAAACAAAGAAAAAAGATATGGATATGGAGGCTTCATTTTCCTTTGCCTGTTCTATTCTCTCTCCTATAGTAAACAAAACAGTGACTCTACCCTCGTTCTTTACTTCTTTCTCATTTCCTTACTCTCTATCTTAAATTTGATGATATAAAATGATAGCCTTCTTTAGTTACTAATTTGATATTAAATTGCTCAATTGAATACTCATCATATTAGTATTCTTTAAATGTTAAAATTAATATATTTAAGAATACTATATTCTTTTAGATATGAGGAATTGCCATGTTTGAGAAGAAATTAATGCTCCTAATAAAGAGAACTGCTATTTTTGAATAAATATTCATGCTGATTGGTATTTAAAACTAAGGAACTAACCAAAAGTTAGTTTTTAGGTTTATAAAACTTTTATCACCTACACAATGCCTAGGCGCCCCACAATCGCATAGACAGGTTGACAACTATGATCTCTCCATCTCCTTTTCTTTTCTACTCATTCTAATTTTAAACCAGGAGTCTTTTTTTAATTGAAGAGGAGAAACCTTTCTTTTCTAGATCTTGATTTTCTTCTTTTCAGATTTCTTTGCATGCATTCCTTTCTCATTTGATGCTCACTGAATATTTTTTTAATCGATTTCTTATGCTCACTGAATATTTTTTGCAAGTTAAGGGTTGCTTTCCTAAGTTTTGTGTTCTAATATCTCTTAATTGTTAAGCTGATAGTATTTCATATTTTCAATGTGATCCATGTATTTACTTTTGGCACTGCTCTATTTGTTGTTCGTTGTATAATGCTAATAACTGTCATACCTTTTTAATTCTTAGACCTATTTATCTGTTAATTGTAGCATTGAAAGTCTTTGATGATGCACATAAGTGTATTATTTCTATTTGGCTGCTTAAATAATACATTTCCCCAGGCACCCAGGCATTGTCTAGGCACTTAAGCGTTGCCTGGGCACTTGCCTTAGAGTCAGCACCCGGAGTCACCCAAGGTCCTTGACAACTGTTTTTCCCCCAAGGCAATATAGCTGCTAATAAAATAAAAAATGAGTAGATCTCAAGTACTTGTACCTGCAATTGGTGGGACAAGATTATACAAACTTCAATAGAAGCTTCAGGCCTTAATCTTGGAATAAACATTTTTCCACTGCTCAGAATCAGCATGTTCAAGTAACAATCCTTAGCATTTTTCCTTTTATGATAGAAGGGTAAAATTCATCTGACAGAGATCAAGAATCAAGAAATTTACAAAGCAAAATGATCAAAATAGAAAAATAATAGCTGAGTAAGCCTATTGATAAACAGGTGATTGTCTTTTATTTTGTTAAGCAACATTGCCCACACTGAAGCATCTCCCATCTGAAACTTATTGCACATCAAACTCTAACCAACAGTGCTGCAGGACAAAATCTACTAAAGTTTGTTTCACTTCTTGTTCAAGTACTATGAGTCTACGATTAATGTCCTTATCTTCCTTAATACGTCTTACAGCATTAGGGACAAGAGAACAAATCATCGGAGACACAAATAAAAGACGGAAATATTTGACCCATATTGCAATTAACCAATTAGTTCAGTTCATAACAGCACAATCATTGATGCAAATGCACAATGCAAGGTACTAATTAATCAACAGAAGTAGTTTGCTAAGAGAAAGAAATGCTAATTAAGGAACAACTCTAGTGAAACCGATGAATAAACAATTAGAAGGTAACTAACCTGTAACCAAAACCAGCCTCTCGAAGCTCCGCCTCTGACACAAGCGACAACCGCTCCAAAGACGGAAATTCATGGAAATCGAATCCTTCAACAGTTCCCAGATAACTGCCTAGAGAAGAAATGAAATCCACCATCCGGGTAATTCTCCCAATATTGTTATTAGAAGAACAGAGGAACTGAAAGAGACACTCAACAGGGTCTTGCCTGAGAACACGAGCACCACCCAGATGTGGCGCCAAATCGGCAAACCTGGTATCAGAAGCCGAGAACGACGCCCACATGTCCCCAAGCGAGATTCCCATGTTGAGATAATCAAGGAGAGCGGCTCTGGCGTCGGCTTCACCGGTTGTGGTCCGATGAAGGAAGTAGGCGACATCACCATTGCCGTCGTCGAGCTGCTTGAGGGAGAAGAGGTGGGACTTGACAACGCCTGTGTACTGAGAAGGGCCTGTTTGCTTCCATCGGAAGGTCTGACCAGTGGGGAATGTGAGGGGCAAGAAAAGCTCTGATCTTCCCAGGTTGAGGGTCTCCCATTTTAGAGATGTTCTTGGGGCCTCTGCTGTGGGTGGTAGGGTTTCTTTGGATTTGGGATCGTTGAAGGTTGGGGTGAGGCGTCTTTTGGCTTTCTTGATTGAAGATGTAATGGAGGTGGGGTTCTTGCTCTGGTGGGTCTTTGGGGTGACTTTTGGGATTGGAGGTGTTGATGGAGTGCATGGTTTATTAGTGAGTACCGGAGATGTCGTTGCAGGTCTCTGCCTCTTCATGACTGGCAGAGTTCTTGGAGACTGCAGCATCTGATGACTGATGTTCATTTCTATTCACCGCTACAGTATCCTAAATAAAAAGCACAAATACAGAGGCAATTGAGGCACCGGTACCAAAAGGCCAAATGATTTTCTATACAATCCAATAGAGAATAGCCACGTCCCTCGTTCGTTTATGCACATCTTCTTCTGTACCGAATATTTTCTGTATCTAAGAATCCGTTTGGAAAGAGTATAAATGTAAATATAATACATGCAAAATAATACAAAAATATAAGGTTGCACTCTATAAATTTATATTTATACTTATTTTAAACTCAGCTATAAGGGAGAATTCCCTATCAGTACCCTTAATTTTAGGGGTTGTGTCAAAGTCAGTCTCTAATAGATTTCTGTGATAACAGTCCTCAGTTAATTTTGGACATTTTTTTTTTATTCGTTACTTTCAAATAAACCAATTTAAACAAAATTCATTTTGTTTACATCTTGATTCCAGTAAACAATATTGTCGTTCCACCTGATTTCAACCAAWTTTTTTTCGGGCTTGTGGAATGATAGACTACCGGTTACGGACTATGAATCTATGAACGAACTACAGCATAATCAACAACTTGATCTAAACCCAATCCAGGGAAGTGTGTGAAGGCACACCATAAGGACGGGTGCAATTTTCCATGTGCTAATCCAGGTGGTGCCCCAATGGCAAGAAACATGCATACAATCCAAGGGGCGAAAAAGAAATTGACACGGTTTGAACTGGAAGTATTCCCTCCGAACAACAAGGGCCAAGAGCTAGAGAGCCAAAGGAAGAGGTTGATGAGTGGAGTAATGTGAAGGATTTTTGTAGTTGGGCTTGTTGTCAAGTTGCATCACAGGATTGCTTGACTGCTCAGGCCAAGACAGATGCCGAAATAGCCGATTGGGAACTGGAGGAGGAATGGCCATTTTTCATCTTTGGGGAGGAGGATGTCTTCTTAGTCCTACACAAAGATTGCTTTCAGTTGCTACAATGGTTGCCAATATGATTTTTGTATTGTTTTACTATTCCATACTAATTAGAATTTCTGCTGTTTTAAAGGGGTTCCATGAGAAAACACAAATCCAAGTCATAGAGTTTCAGATATACCAAATAACCAGAGTGTGGGATTAAGGCCTCATTCGCTTTTCGGTAAGTTGCTTATTTAGGTAAATGCAGTTACTTGGATAAGTTTTTCCTGAGAAACATTTATCCGGGTAAGTGCATTTACCCATGTTCTTTTATTTCTCATGAAAATAAGGCAATGACCATTTTAGCCATAAAAATCTATTATTAAAAGGGGCATTTTTGTCTCATTCAAGTATTGGCAACTTTCTCCCTAGGTGGGAAAGTTATTTACCCACCTAGGAGATGGGTACTATTTACCCGGATAAGTGATACCTAGGAAAATAAACTTTCCTGATCCCCACATAAATCTAAAAAAAGAACATAGTATTCTAGGTTAATAGAAACTAAAATCTCAATGACCAACTTATCCCCTCTCAAAATCTGAAAAATGAACACCCCCTAAAAGACATGAGAAGAATCAGTTACTATAAGAAATGCTCTTACTACTTTTCCTTCTTCTGGGTATGGAACCTGATGGAGGGAGATTTGACCCGACCCCTTGGTCGCGCGACACGTGGAAGCAACCAGGTATGACCTGGCAGGAGCGTCAACTCGGCACAGTGACATAGCCTTAGCCCAAGAAGAGGCCCGAGCTCACCAAGAATAGGCCCCGAGCTCCCCAAAGAGAACCCGTGCTTCCTAGGAAGTAGAACCCGAGCTTTCCTTAGAAATCCCGAGCCCTACAAGGAACACCACGAAAGGCAAAACCCGGACTGACCCACCTCGGGTCAGTCTAGGCCACGCCCCTATCCGAACTCAAGACTTCACCTCATGCACCACTCCGACACCTCGGCTCTAGGTTGCGTGATTGAACGACCGTACCTGACACCAAAGAAGTCCGTATCCTGAGGCGACGCACCTGACTGATCAGGGATCTGACACATGACAGCCGCACACCAACGGCCACCTGCTACCGCCATCTCAATCGTTGCAGAGACGGTTCCGACAGAGAAGACAATGGCGGTTATGTCTGCCCCTGTAGAGGCGGTTACACCTGATCTGGTAGAGGCTTGGGAGTGAGTGCACCAGGGCGGTTATAAAAGGCCCTATTCCCCCAGAGTAAAGGTAAGTGATACTTTGCACCTTCTGGTCTAAGAGAATTTCTCATCTTCCTTGCTCTCTCAAGAGTGATAACTTGAGCGTCGAAGCATGCCCATCGGGTTCCTCCCTCGGGAATCTTTTTTTTCCTCCCTGTTTCAGGCATCTCCCACTCCGTCAGAGGCAAGATTACCGGCAACTAGGACCGACTGGATCGTGTATCATCATTTGGCACCATATGTGGTAAAATGCTTTAAAAAGCCTCCCCCAACCTCTAGCTCTTTCCTAAAGAAAGAAAACTTAGCATTCATGGCTTCATCCGGCAGTGATAGACATAATGCCGACCTGAATGCCGTCGGGGAACACCCTCAGCTCCCAACTGTCTGCATCGGGCAGTTCACCATCCCCCTCTCGGTGGACGGAATCCCTGGCCTGGATGTACCACGGACAGTGGCGCCTGTGAATGTTCCCATTCCCCCCCTCTGTTGAGACAACTTTCGCTGAACCAACCATTGTCCCTCTGGCGATGATTTGATGCAGTGCATGCGGGCCATGCAAGCCCAAATGCAGCAGCTTCAGCAACACCAACTCTACCAGCAGCAAGTACTACATCGCGTCTCTCAGTACCACTACCAACAGCAGTTCCCCCAACTGCCTTAGAGCCAGCCGCAGCTTCCACCTCGGCACCCCGCTGCCAAGCAAATCAAGCCCTCTCCTCAGGGTGGGCGTCCTCACCGAGGAGAAACTTCCCAGGCTCAGAACCCCTTCAAGAGCCAAGCCTCATCCCCTGTCAGGAGGGAGAGACTGACTACCCCCACTTCGCAGCATGTTGGCGGATCGGGGACCTCCCGGCCTATCAAGTTAGCATCACCTCGGCGCTCTCAGTTCGGGCTCTCGCTCACGGAAAACCAGTTCGGCGCCCTAGCCACGAACCACCACCAACAGCCCGGGCCCATTGAGCTTGGCAACACCGAAGCAAGCAGCGCTAACACCGGACCTTCTAAGCAGCAGTGGAGGCGTCGACGAGCCCGCCGAACTACTACCCGCGTCTTACCCGAGCTCAGAGGTAAAGAGGAAGGGAGTTCGGATGAGATAAAGGTTACTCCTATCCTGTCAATCCCTTCCCCCCTGTCATCGGAACTCCTCGCCATTCCTATGCCCAAGGATTTCAAACTCCCCCCGCTAGACAAATACGATGGTTCCTTTGACCCGAGTGACCATGTTGATGCTTTCCAGCCCCAGATGCACCTGGCGAGGGCCAGCGAGTCCTGCATGTGTGTGGCCTTCACTACCACCTTCAGAGGAGTGGATAGGAACTTGGCCCCCGGATCGATAAGAAGTTGGGCCCAGTTCGTGCAGGTCTTCACCGCGCACTTCGTCACCAGCAAGCGATGCCCCCGAACTAAAGAGAGCCTCCTTGGTATAGTCCAAAAGGAAGGGGAGACCATTTGAAGCTATATCAAGTGATTCAACGACGCATGCTTACAGATACCACGCCTAGACCCCGTAGTATAGCTTGCAGCGGCCAAGAAGGGTGTGACACACAAGGAATTCAAATGGCACATGGTGGTCAACCAACCCGCAACCATAGCTGAGTTTCTCAAGCTCGCGGACAGGTTCATAAGAACGGAGGAGGAGATCAATCAAAGAGCTGAGGGTGAGTTCGAAAAAAGAAAGAGGGAAAGCAAACCTTCCAACCAAGAGGACAGGAGGAAGAAAGACTCAGCTTAGGGGGCGAAGCCAAGTCAGCCATTCCAAGCTCCCGCGGTAGATCGGGCAGACTACACACCCTTGAACGCGAAGCGGGCTGAGATCCTGATGGCGATCAAGGACGCCCCATACATAAAGTGGCCACCCCGTCTGAGAGGGAACCCGAATGAAAGGAATAAAAATTTATAATGTAGCTTTCACAGAGACCACGGTCATAGTACCAAGCACTGTAAGAATCTCCGCGACAAGATAGAGGAACTCATTCGTCGCGGATACCCAAGGAATTTTGTACAGAATAATAATAATAAAGTAGGTCGGCAGGGGGAGCACAGTAGGGATGCTCCCGAGTCCAGCAACAGGCCAGCAGAGTAGTCACAGAAGCAACCCCCGGAGGAGAGACCAGTTCGGGGAATGGTCCATGTAATCGTCGGAGGGTCGATTGTAGCGGGTTGCACCTCGGCCGCAGCTCGGGCATCAACCCATGAAGGCCGCCAGAGAAGAGTAGAATCCCCCGAAGCGGCCAAGGGCAGAAGACTCCATACTCTTCACCGAGGACGACACGCGTGAAGTTCACTACCCCCACGATGACGCGCTCGTCATAAAGGTAAAGATCAATGATTTTGAAGTCAGGCACGTCCTCGTGGATTCAAGCAGCTCGACAGACATCCTTTTCAAAGCGGATTTCGACCAACTCCAGTTCCAAGAGAGTGACTTGAAGCCCGCGAACACCCCGCTGGTCGGATTCAGCGGAGAGGAAGTCAAGCCCCTGGGAAGGGTTACAATACCTGTTGAAGTCGGCACGTGGCCAAGCATAGTGAGGCTCAAACACGACTTCTTGGTGGTTGCGACCCCCTCCCCATACAATGCCATAGTAGGTCGGCCGATCACCCATGCTTTAGGGGTTGTGGTGTCCACCAACTATTTGGCCATGAAGTTACCCTACGGACTTCGGCATAGGGGTAGTGTGGGGCGACCAGATTGAGTCCCGCAAATGCTACATCGCCACCCTCAAGGGAAAAGCCAACGTGGCCATCGACCTCGAGCTGGAGCGACCTGTGGAACAGAACGAGGAGCGAGCTACGCCCACGGAGGAGACCGTTCTCATCCTTGTCTCGGCAGAGAACCCAGCACAAGCACTTTAGATCAGCGCCTCACTGGAGGAGCCCTTGCGAT